AGCTGTGTGGTGCAGGGTGAGTAGCTGACAGAACATGCAGACACAGAAGGTTCAGTTTAACTTGATAGAGTTAAGAAGTGAGTCTCCAGGTAACAGTGGCATGAGATTTCTCTGAGGGGTGTTGCCAGCCTGTGATCACTGCAAGCTTCATCCGGGGTCTTCTAAGATCATTTATTTCCTTTTTATGGCTGCTCTTTGTTACAGAAATCAGAGGCTGCAATGGAAATTTTTAGAGAAGCTGGAGTACCACGGAAGCAGAAAGTTACAACGTTTAATGTGACAGATGATGCCATAATTAAACCAGGTAATGGCTTTGAGCTGCTGAATCTGAGCATGCAGAGTCATTTAAGGTCTGCTCCTAGACCAAACCAAGTTGGGACCTGTATTTTGGTTTTGTCTTGTGTGGAAATTGATGAATTCTTGTTTCTTTGTCATTAATCACCAACAGACTTTTTTCTTAGGTTAAACTAGAAAATAGGCTTTATTTTATAGGTGATGAGAAGTAGGATTTTTTTTTTTGTGTGGTTATTATGTTTCCATTAACTAGAAAATCAGTCTGATCTGAACTAGTTAGTGTGAACATTGAGCTAAGAAATAAATGTCTGTGACCTGGACTCACTTTTTTGGAATAAATCTGAATGCATTTGCAGGAAGTTCTCTGGTTATCCTTGCAAAAGAGGCACTGTGAATTTAGTGGTAATGTTTCTCAGGAGCCTAAAATAGCTGTTTGGGGTTTGTTTCTTCTTGCTGCATTCAGAGAGAGGACTGGTGGTTGCCAGATATGATTTTTTTTCTGGCAGCTTGCAAAGTAAAACTCATTGAAACATGTTCCAGCAAACATTCCCTCTAAAAATCAGTATTGGAACTTTGGGGATTTCATCGAATCATAGAATTGTCAGGGTTGGAAGGGACCTGAAAGATCATCTAGTTCCAACCCCCCTGCCCTAGGCAGGGACACCTCCCACTAGATCAGGCTGCCCAGAGCCTCCTCCAGCCTGGCCTGAAAGACCCCCAGGGATGGGGCCTCAACCCCCTCCCTGGGCAGCCCCTCACAGGGTCTCCCCACTCTCCTGGGGAAGAACTTCTTCCTCACATGCAGCCTGAACCTGCCCCCTGCCAGCTCTGCCCGTGCTGTGGGGGGGTCTGGGGGCTGTGCCCCAGCTGACCTGTCTGTGCCTTTGCAGGAACCCCCCTGTACGCCGCTCACTTCCGCCCCGGGCAGTTCGTGGACGTCACTGCGAGGACGTGAGTGCCTGCTGGGGCCCTGCTCCCCTCCTGCCCCACTGCCCCTCCAACCTCCCTTCAGCTCCAAAGCTGAAATGCAGCTGCAGGGGTAGTGGCAGGAAATAAGTCTGTCCGGCCGCTGGGTCACAAATATCAATTTCTCTGTCTCAGCTGAGGCTTGCTTTTGATTTGGGGTGAGGCAGGTAAGCAGCTCAGGGCCCTAGGGCTGTGGCTCTGCACGTGTTGTCTGTCACACGTACGTGATGAGTGTGGAAGGGCTTGACAGGCAGCCTGAGCACGAGGTGCTGGGGCTCAGCCCGGGTGAGTGGCAGAGCTGGGCTGCACAGTGCAGCAGGGGTGCTGTGCAGGAGCAGGGGATTCATGCTGAGGGGCGTCGATGCCCAGGAAGGCTGCACCACTCTGCTCTGGAGAAGAGATGCTGAGAGACATAGGTCAGGTGGGCCCAAAGAAAAGCAAAAGATAGTGACTGCATTTCGTGGGACAACAGAGCTGTCAGATTCCTTGTTTGTTCTCATCATATTCCAGCTCATCTCCTCGCCAGCAGTCTGACAATTTTTAGTTGAAGGTGGGAGGAGTGATTTCCTTTCAGACCACTGCAAATGCCAAATCAGAGCTCGAGTGGCAGCGGGTGGCAAAGCAACTACTGACATCTTGTGCAAAGCCCAGCCATGTGTCTCCTGCTGCCTCTGTTCTCCACTGCCCCGGAGACCTGGGGGCTCCCATCCCCCTCTTTCAGTGTCTCTGTGACACAAAGATGATGTTTTTCATTTGATGTTTTATTTGTTGTGTGGTGGAGGTAGTACCCAACTGGCCATAGTGAAATGCCATCCACTGTAACTGTCACACACTGCTAATGCAGGAGGGCTCTGTTTTTCTGGGAGTATTTCAAGAGCTAGGAAAGGGGGCTTTTGGGCAATGAAAAAGATACTGGCAAGCAGCCACAGGGTATTGATTTGTATCTTGCTGTATGTAGCTGGAAATACTGGCAAAGCTAAAAATAGATTGAGTTCTTAGTCATGTTCAGTGAATCCATCCTGTCTTCTAACTCAGTATTTCTGACCTGTTTGCCCCAGATATTTGTATGATCCCATTTCAGAAATTAGCTTTTTGCTTGGACTGGTGATTACAAACAATCCTGCCACACAGGTGAAGAAAATGTTCTTCACCTAAAGAGAAAGATCAGATTTATTTTTTATTTAACCATAGGTTTTCTGTCAATATGATTCTCTAATCACTTCAGTCTTTCTGGGTTTTTTTAACCTTTTTCTGCAACATACTCACATTCTGATTTCTACTTTTAATGTTTCTGCTTAATTTCCACTTTTCTGAAATGCTGTATTTATCCTATCCCTTAGCTCTTGGGCAAGGATTCAGTTATTTCACCACATTTCAGTTTTCCTTTGGGTCCTTTACTTCATCCCATGCAATGCCAGCCAGCGTTGCTTGGGCTCACACTTGGGTGGGTTTTTCATTATTTTTGCAGAATGCTGTATCTGTCATTCCTAGTTACTGTACCTGCAAGTACAGATTTCACAATGTCACAAAAATATCCAAGAAGTGCTTCAGGGAAGGGCAGAAAGTTAATCTTGGGGGTGGTTATTAAGTTTGTTATATTGTTAAGTGGGTTTTTATTTGGGTTTTTTGGTTGGGTTTTCTTTGTTTTTCTGGTGTCCACTTGGTGGAAACTTGATTATGATACCAGGTACTGGGGACCATTGCAGTAAGGAGAACATTGTTCATCTCTTTGCCTATTTGACTCTCTTCTAGTGCTTCTGCTCCTGCAAAGCAACTGTTAAATATTGCACTAGAATAGGTTTATGGTGTAAAATAGACTTATAGTTTGGGGCTTTTTTTAAATACTCTTCCCCCTCCTGAGCTTTGCTAAAGGCATAAAAATCATAAGCCTGGCTGAAATTATTGGTTACTGCTAGAAACCTTAGTGAGCAGTGCAGTTTGTTCCTTGCTTTTCTCTCCAGCATTGGGAAAGGGTTCCAAGGTGTCATGAAGAGATGGGGCTTTAAGGGCCAGCCCGCCAGCCACGGCCAGACGAAGACTCACAGACGTCCTGGAGCCATATCTACCAATGTAAGGGTCCTTCCCTCCAGCCACACCTTCAGTGCTCTTAGCAGGGCTTACTGCACGTGGGGGGGTTCTCAGGGGCTGGCTGGTGCCACCTGCTCCCTGGTAGCAGGGTCTGGGATGTTTCGGAGCAGTTCAGGAGCCTGTGGCACAGAGAGCTCTTGTCTTGTGCCTGGGCTTGTGTATTGCTTGTATTTTAACTGAGCAAATAGTGGCATTTTGTAGTAGAGCTGGCAGAAATAGTCTTCATGCTTGGAAGAGAGTTCTTCTATCTTCTATCACAGCATGTATAGATTGGAAAGGATTTACCTGTGTTTTTATAGTGCAGATATTCTGCTGTCCTTTGGAGCTCTCGTTGCTTTCATCACCTTGCCTGGCTTTTGTAGCTGCTTAATGAACTCCAGCCTAGCAAAAATGCAGAAACTAAGCAATAGCAGGGAATGTAATTAAAAACTCTATTTCCAAAAATACCTGCATTAAAAAAAAAAAAATCTCTTCCATCAGTATAAAATTCTTGGATTGAGGAGCAGGGAGAAGCTACTGTCTGTCCTCATTTTGGCAGACTCCCAGGGCAGGACTGCTCTGGAGCTCTGTGGTAGAATCCACAAGCAGTTCAGGCAAGTTTCCAGTTGCTGCAGTCTGTGATGTAGGTGAGAGTCTTGTGCTGACAGGGGTCTTAGGGAAAAAAACCCAAACTTTGCTTGATTTTCCCAACATGGAAGTATGGAATGAGGGCATGTTTTTGCTCTGAAACCTCCACACACTCAGTGTTAAGCAAAGCTAGAAGCTGTTTGTTGATACAGCAGTGTTTATAGCAATTTCATTATTGAGGTGAAGCATTTCAGCTAACATGTAGAGTAATACCTGTCGCCCAGCAGGAGGTATTTAAAGTGCTAATCTTTATGAAATATTTTCAGTATTAGCTATTTTCACATTGGGAATACCAACACATTGTCTGTGGTGTCCCCTGGAGTTGGTAAGCTTACCTCCTGCAGGTACATGATTTGTTTCTTACCCCTCTTCTCCAGAAAGCTGCCAAGGTCTATCGTGGGAAGAAGATGCCTGGTAAGATGGGGAACGTCTACAGGACATCCTTTGGGCTCAAGGTGAGCTCTGGGGGTGGGGGTGAGGTGAGGGGGGTGCAGTGCCCAGCAGGGGCTGAGCCATGCAGCCCTCTGTTGGTGTTGGTCTGTCCCTCCTGGCAGGACCAGGCAGGAGCATCCCGGGGGGAGCGAGCAGGAGAGGTGGGAGCAGCAGGAGTGTGGGCTGTGTATCATCACCTGCTCTCCCCTGCACTCATACCCTGGGAGCTGGGGCTTCAGGTGATGCTGCAGGTCGGATGTGGATTTCACCATGTCCCTTGACTTCTGCCTTTGAAGTGGGAGAACAATCAATCAGGCTTTTGGTGACCCCCAGCTCATGTTTTCATGCCTGTTTGCTTGCTCAAACCCAAGCCAAGTCCGAGCTCTTTGATGTCCTGACTTCATCATGGTCCTTCACTTTCATGTGCAAAGAGGGGGTTATAGTTCCTGTCTGGCTCTGGTGTGTACCTGGCTGCTGCAGCCCCTGGGCTCTCTCAGCTGCTGCTCTCTCCCTGGGAAGGCAACCTCTGCAGCTGGCACAAAAATTGGCCTCTAGTCAGAAAAATCCTGTGCTGCTACTGCTGCTCTCTGCAAACCAAAGTGAATTTTTGTAACAGAAAATGTTCAGTTGAGTACCTCTTAGAATTAAGACATGAACAAGCAGTCACAGCTGCAGTTTCATGGGCATATTTGTTTTCATTTACAGTTGTTGCTGTTAGAGGGAAAGGAGACCTGGGAGCTTTGGTTGGTTTGTGCTGAGTAAGAGCTGCCTTACCAAACAGAGGCTGATCACAAGCCCTTTGAAGCTGTTCAGTAGACTCCTGCATTAGAAGCCTGTGCACTCAGGGTAGTGTGGGACTCCATTCATGGGGAGTTCAGGCCTGTGCAGAACATCCCTCTTCCCCAGAGTAGCACCTCCAGTTAATCAGTTTGTGCTTTGCTGCACTGCTATTTGTAGAACTGGAAAGTCTCTAAAATGAGTAAAATGTCTGGGTTTTTTCTCTTTCCTAGGTCTGGAGGATCAACACAAAGCATGACATCATTTATGTGAACGGGTCTGTTCCAGGCCACACCAACTGTCTGGTGAAGGTGGGTTTGGTAGCTCCAGCTGAGGGGTACTGGCAGCTCCCAGGCTCTCTCCAGCTCCCTTCAACAAACACTGGTTGAATGCAGGCTGCATTTTGTCAGAGCCCATCCTGTGCTATGGGATTCAAGTGCAGCAGGACCAGCCCTGTAAAGAGGGTGGCTGGGGGTCACCACCTGGTCTGAACAGCTCCTTCACCTGGCACCAGGGGGGTGTGCCTGTGTCCTGTGGGATCAACCAGCACAGCCACTGGAGACCCATCCCCTTGTAGCACTAACCTGCCCGTGAGCAGGTGGGTTATTCCTGTGGGGTTTGGACCCTTCTCTCTCTGAACTCCAGAGGTGAAATATCACCTAATACTTTTCTCTTTGCCTGTCTCCAGGAGGGAGGAGTTTGTGTTCAGTACCAGCTCTGTGTTGCTTGGTAACCACTAAAACCACAGTGCACCTTAAAACATATATTTATTTTGTATGTTATGTATTTTTGGAAACTTAGTGCATTAGCATTGTATCCAGACAGAGATAAAGCACTTGCCCTGTTCAAGTTTTCAGCAGAAAGAAAGTGCAGAATAGTAGGATTGATGGTTCCTTGTTTAATTAGGAGTCAGTTTGCATTTGATATTGCACACTGAAGCGTGCAGGTAAATAACTGACAGCAGTAATGTTTCTGGCCAGCTGGGAAGCTAAAGACAAAAGCTTGCTTTAGCATGGATTTCATCCTTAGTGGCCAGCTGTAATCAAGTGAGGAAGCTTGAGCAGCATGCTGGACTGTGCAGTGTTTCTGCTGGGGAGCAGCACGGCAGCACCTGGCTGTGGGAGGGGCTCTGCTGGCACACACTGTGCCTGTGGAGACAGCCAGCCTCTGCTCACACTGCTTGCACCCTCCTGGACCACAGGGCCTACATAGGGAATGTCTCTGGCATTGGTCCTCCAGGAAAAAAGCTGATTGGGTTTTGTTTCACAAGCTTGAATTCTTTCCCAAGCATATTCCCAAAAAGTTGTCTCTCCTGTCATTCAGGAGAAGCACAAGGCTAATGCCCATTTTGGGTAGATGCTTTATGGTGGAGGAGACACTGTAGCATGGTGCATTAAAATTCAGGTTGTTACAGTCTGATAATGTTTTATACCTGTCCTGATTTTAAGTCACCTGGTTTTTTTGGCATGTTCAATGCTGATCACTTTGAACCCATCACTTGCAGTGAAAGCAGCAGTTCTGGCCAATCCTGTGCCCCCTCAGGGGTGCTTGGCAGGCCGGGGCTGGAGCTGAGTTCAGGAGGAGTGTGGGATTGCTTCAGTGCAGCCTCCTGCCTGGGGCTGGGCTTCACTGCCCACTCCACCCCCTCTGCTGCTTCCTGCTTTCTCCTTTGTCCCTTTCTTTTCCCCTTTTCATTTTTTCAGAGCAGTCTGTAGAGGTTTGCATCCTGCTCACTTTGCATGGCACTTGCCAGCGTTGCTGTCTGGGCTGGGGCTGCTGCTGCCCAGGCTGGCTGTGCTGAGCTCAGGGCTCCTGGGGGGCCTCCCAGGGCTCCAGGGGCCTCCCAGGGCAGACTTTAGCAGGGCCTGTTCCAACAGCACGAAGGGTGCTGGCTTTAAACTAAAAGAGGGAGATTTAGACCACATAGCAGGAAGAAATGTTTTGATGCTGAGGGTGGTGAGCCCCTGTCCCAGGCTGCCCAGAGAGGTGGTCACTGCCCCATCCCTGGCACCATCCCAGGGGAGGTTGGCCGGGGCTCTGAGCACCCTGCTCTAGCTGCAGATGTCCCTGTCCCTGCAGGGGGCTGTTCTGGGTGAGCTTGAAAGGTCCCTTCCCACCCAAACCCTTCCATGATGCTGTGAATGATCTCCTTGAAGAGCTGAGCAGCCATCCTGACCATGCTGAGCCCTCCACCTCCTTCTCAGCAGAAGTTCTATTGTTTATCAGGCCTGCACTTTGAAAACTGTTGGAACTTCCTCAGGGAGGGAGGGACAAGGAGACAGAAAAACAAAACCCCACCAGTTTTTCAGGAGGTGATGTTTCAGTCAGATTTACTGGGCACTGCATCTGCAGGAGTCCTCGTGGACTCTGGGCAAGGCTCAAGTAATAGCAGATATGAGTCTGGTAAATACAGTCTTGTCAGGACAGAACTGTCTGTGGGGAGGAAGCTGCTTTATTTAATATCTGGTATAAATCACAGTTGTCCTGTGTGAGGTTTTTTTCCAAGCAAGTAAGGACAAGGTTCCTGTTCTTTAAAAGCCCACCAGAAAATAGAAGAGGAAGCACTTATCTCCTCTATACTAATATTTTGTCTAATCTACTTGTAGTTATGTTTTTTTTAATCCAGTTGAGTATAGTGGCTGAGAGGGATTATTACAGCTCAGGAAGAAGATCATATGTAACAATACAGAAATGAAGAATTTAATTTTAAAGAAAATTTCATCACTTGAGAATTTGTACCTCTTTTTTTTTTTTCTTCAGAGATAGCAGCTTTCTAATCTACTGCAGACAAACTGCTTTTTGCTGATAATTCTAGCTACTAATTTTCTTCAGGGACTGGAGTTTCAGGGGCTAGATTTTAAATCTTGCCATATGTAGAGAGGTCAGTAAAGGAAAGTAATTTCTCTGTGGCACTACAGTTCTTGGAAATTAAGTTTCTTAAAGGTTCCTCTTCAACAGACTGGGGTACTGATCCTGGGTGAAGAATTCTAGATACTCAACTCTGCAGTCCCTGAATGGTTCTGCAGTAGCCAGAGGGACTGAACACAGCACATGCACATAGCTTTGCAAAACTAGTTACCATAATTAGCTTGTATCCTAACTACAGAAGCTTGTCTTGGTGTTTGGAGAGGTGATCACACTGCATAATACAGTCTGGTACGTCCTGTGGGGAGCTGCTGTGGAGTATCAGCAGTTAAACAGGCCACACTTACATTTATTTTAACAGCATTCTAAAATGTGAGCCATGGATTCATGACAGTAAGTTTTGAGTCTCACAGCAGTGATACATTTCTCACACAGTGAATTATCTTTGATTTTTTGGGTTTGTTTTGCTGTTTTTTTTTTTAAAGCTCCTTAATGACAGGTACAAAATGTTAAATTCAATAGCTGGGTTGATGTTAACATAACTGGTGATTATACCTGGAATTCTTCAGATAAACAGGTGCAGTGTGAATGCTGCTGGCTTGGGGTTTGCTTTTTCCTTACACGTGCAAGATGGCTTTTTGAATTTCTAGTGTCTCGCTGCCTGGAGGTCTGCTGGGAGGTTTATTAACCCCCTTCCCCCCGCACTGCAGGTGAGAGACAGCAAGCTGCCCTCCCGCAAGGGCTGCAACAGCAACCCCCCCTTCCCCACCTTCTTCGCGGACGGAGGCGAGGAGCTGCCAGAGGAGCTGTTCGACGAGGAGGTGTTCCAGCTGGGGGAGCCCTCCCTCACCTAGCCCTAGTGCTGCCCCTGCCGGGCACTGCCCTGCTCGGGGCTCTGCC